TTGGATCGGATGGCTCGCATGCGTTGTTCTGCAGGCTGACGTATGGAAGCAAAAGCGGACACATTACATGAGTCGAGGAATTGATGCCAAATTTCAGCTGACCTTGTTCGTGGTGCTGGTATAGGTAAACAACACCACATGCGCAACGAATACAAACAACAAACATACACGACACAGAGACAGACGTGCGGTTGTCAGCAGGGCCGGCGGTTGTCAGCAGGCTGGATATTTTTATTTTCCGCGTGCAACGAGTTTCGGTTGGGTCAGTTAAAGTTGTGGGGAAAGCTCAGTGGTGTTGAACGAATGTTTTCGTATGCGATGGACACTCTTGAGACCCAGATTTGACCTTTGTGACTCGAAGGCCGCGATGTTCACCATTCCGCCTCCCCGACAGGCCGGCAGCAGAGTAGGACTATACTGAGGGAGAAAGTCTGACAAGATGACAATGATGAGGGTACTCTTGCGAATCTCAATGATATGCGTTCAGAGTTTTAGTCACAAAATTGCTAAGGCAGTTCTGCTTGCAAGGCGCTTGAATGATGGAACTTTGAATCTTATTACGGTTCCTGCCCTGGCCAGGAGGGTGATCCGCCAGCCTCCTAGATCAAGGTTGTGTTGGCTGCTGACATTTCCAACTGGCTGAACCCGCCAGTAGGATCGTTCTCGATTTTGCCCCTGGAGGGAGCCGTTTCAACCGAAGAGCTCATCAAGTGCACTCCTTTTCTGCTGAGGGATCCCAACGATGCGGAGCTGCCTTTGGATCCGGAGAGGGGGGAGGGACAGAATGGCGTCAAACTTCTGGATGTAACGCGGGGGCGACCGGATGACAGGGGGCTCAAATGGCAACAAATTCATTGACAGCTCGACAGCAAGACCCAAGGTGGATTCAGAGCTGCCTACCCAAGTGCATTCTTCATTCGCTGTGGATGCATACATGTGAATGTCCGAAGGCTCAATTCTATGTTAGACCTTGAATTGTACTTTTGCTGCAATTTGGAATCACATTTCATCTTTATTCCACTGATTTGAAGGTCGTTCTTTGCCTGGAACCAAGGTTGATCTTTTTTGGTATTTGTAAGCCTTCGCAGATGTGGACCCATGAGAAAAATACACAAAGGCAGCGTCATATATGCTTCATGCTTCCATCTCTATTCTGCTTAGTTTCCGTCATTGAGATCCAGGTTGCATGTAAAATTCAGACGCGACCCAGCTGAGAAACTGCCTGCAAGGGGCTAGTCCGGAGTCTTCAGCTGCCTGCTTCCTCCGCAGCCGTCCTTGCTCTCCATTCTCTGCACTTGAGCAAGATGGCACGGCACCCAGATAGCAGTTGAGCTACATGTGAGGGGCGCTCTTTTGCAGTCTGTTGGCGGTGACATTTCCAGAAGCACTCTCTGTGGCATCACTTGGTTCGTGTTTGGCTTGAGTGTTTGCCATAGGAGTAACAGCAACTCAGGTCTTTGGATTCACAGGCGGCATCGAGGGCCTGGCAGATGTTCTTGCCAACCGGTTTTCTAGCCAAGCAAAGAAGCGGTTCAGGGTCATGGAGAGCCCTTTTCCGACATGACACCTCTTCCTCACTTGAGCACAATCCAAACCTGGGTAGATGAAGGTTCGTATGGCATAATCCCATCCATTCTTAAAGGGCGCAGCCGCTTTTTAGTTCTTCACATGGTTCTGGGTACCAGGTTTTGATTTCTGACTCAGCTTGCTGATGCGAGGTCTCCTGGGAGTTTAGTCGAAAACACATGAATCCGCAAATGTCAGGGTGCTCGCAAGCGCTGGGAGGCGCAGCCAAGAAGGCCGAGCCGGAGGATGCCACTCTGAACAAGTATAGCAAGGTGCTTAGAGGCCCAGAGGCCGAAGTTCAGAGCCCACGCCCAGTTTATCCATTGCAGAATCGATGGATTCCTCAAAAATGGTGCTAGATGTAAAATGGCGAGCATTCAAAACGGACGAGTGTTCGGTGAGGAGATGGACGTGTTGGGTTTCAAAGCGGGTGTTGGTTGCTTGCAGACGGTCTGGGTCCGGTTGCGTGGATGTCATAGCTTTCATGCAGAGCCCTTCTCCATCAAGGGCTTTGGACCCACGAACCCCACGAGAACATTTGAGTCCCTGAGGCCTGGTTTTCTCCTTCCAGGAGCTGCAAAAGGCAACGGACAACTTCCACGAGCGGCCTGGCTGAGGATGCTGGAAAATGGGCATCGGCTTTGGGTGGCTTGTCTCTGTGACGTTTCATCGGCCTGCGGGCGACTGCACAAGTACATCGAGCTGCAGAAGAGCTGGACATTCCACTTTCATTCTTCACCTATGCTGTTCCACGCATTTCACATCTTTCATGGAACCACCTATGGCATGCTTCGGCTGCTCCAGTTTGGTTCATAAAAAGAAGGCCGCTGGCGGCTTGCCTCGCCAGGTCGCGGCGCATGGGCGCGGGCGGCTTCGGTGCGGTGTACCGTGGCATGCAGCCGGACGGCACGGAGATTGCCATCAAGGCACTGGAGGGGAATGAATGGCCCCTGCGTTTGGATCAATTAATCTTTTCTTTCTTTTTTTTGCAGTGAAGGCGGGCACTGGTGCACTGGTTTGAAAGCTCAATATCAGCATTGAAACTATTTGAGAGTTCCGAATGATGATGATGATGATGATGATGATGATGATGATGAGGAGGAGGAGGATGATGATGAGGATGATGATGATGATGATGATGATGATGATGATGAAGAGGAGCAAGCAAAATAACAATCAAGAAAGTTAAATCACAATACAGATAAGTAAATAGTAGTCGCAAGCATATCAGGATGAGAGAGACATCTTTTTGTTGGAAGAGCAAGCGTTCTGAAGATTTGCTACTCGCTGGAGCCAGGCCTTGGAAACTGCCCGGGAGTCGGGCTTTGAGGAAGAGGCCGGGTTGGTGGCTGAAGCTTTGAATGAAGACATTTTGAGGTTTCTTTCGCGCGCTGCACATGTTTTTTCTGCTTTAAGGTGCGTGTGCTGAGCATGTTTCGGCATCCCAACCTGGTGACGCTCATGGGATTCGCCCGCAATGGGCCCAAGCGCTTCTTGGTGTGGGGGCCCCAAGTGGACCAAAGACAGATCCAGATGCATTCGCATAGCGAGGAATTTTTCGTCTTTTTTCCTGAGAGGGCACCCACGGAGCCTTTCGAGTCCGATCAGGTATGAGCTTATGGAGGGCGGAGATCTTTTCGAGCGCATCCACAACAGAAAGAAGGATCGCGTGTACTACGGTAGTTTGATGTACTACCCGTTTGCTTCACAGTTGTCTTCTGTAGTTTGATGTCCTCGGCTGATGTCGTTTTTGAACGTAGTGTTCATGAATGTGAAGTCAAGAGACAGCCCAGGAGTTTCATTGGCGTGATCGCCTCTGCGTGGCCTATGATGCTGCCTGTGGCCTGTCGCACTTGCACCACCAGACGCCCAAGGCAAATCTGCGGGGTTGAGCATTTTCAAACATCATAAAGTGTATGGGAAGAGATCCGTGGGCTGCAGAAGTCACCATCAACAGCAAGAGACGAGTGACTTGAACTGGACGCAAGGAAATCCTCACCCCCGGCCTAAAGAAGGTCCTCTCCGAGAAGAGCAGAAAGAGAGCCACTGCCTTCGGCAGGTCTTTCACAGGGACATCAAGACAATGAACATCTTGTGACTCCCAGCATGTTTGCGGCGAGCTGGTCTCACTTGTGCAGTTGAGAAAAACTCACCAGTCCTTAAAACCGACTGTGAGTATAAACCGACTGTGAGTGCTCCAAGACTGCACTCACAGACCAGTTGGGAGTCGAGCACGGAGTGTGTTCGGTGGCCCCCAACTTGTTTGTCTTCCGCATTTTCCGCATATTTTCTGCCTTGCATACATGCCTCCTTGCCAGGCTGACCCGGAGTGGCCTGGCCAAGGTGGCGGACTTTGGCCCTTTTGCCCAGTGGGACGAGCTGAAGGAAGCTTGAAACTCCCACATTCTTGGAGATATTTTCATGACTATTCCAGTCAATCTGTTAGTGAACCTCTCTGATCTCTGCTCGGATGTTTTCGCAGGACGTTGGTTTGGACCCATTGGGCCCGAGTCCAAGTGACCCGAGGTCTGGCCAAGATCTCAAAGACCCCGGGGGCGCAGCGGCCCGGGGACTTCTGCGGCACCCCAGGTGCGGGGTGCGGGGTGCGGGGTGCGCGGAGAAGGATCCAAACAAAACGTCACGTCGTTTTGGAAAATCAGCCACGCGCAGAAAGTACGCTTGTTGGATAGGGCTGCATTCTTGGTATGGATAAACCGATCCAGCGCGTTGAAGGCCAAGCTTCCAGGCGATTCCACGGGACTCTGCATGCATTGCCCACCCCATTGTTATTTATCCAAAAAGAGGAGTCACATGCCCAGGCTACATCTGCCCCATCTATGCCCGGAGGCAAAGCTTCAGCGGTGCAGTCACTGTTGGTTGCTTGTCTGCGGCGGGTAAGCCGGACCTGCTTCATAAGCAGGAGCCGAAGGATGGGCCTTTTGCTGACTCGTCTGCGCTCGAGCAGCCTTGTTAATATCACCTGGCTGAATCAGGCCCAAAATCACCCTGGACATTTGCCATATTGGCAGAACCAAACGTCAACGGGTGTTGGGCCGTGCTTACTTGTTGCAGGGCTTGGCGGCTTTACTCACGCGGCGTTTGCCAAGCCGCCGTGTGGCTTCGAGCTGAGGGCACCACCTATGTCATCACTGAGCGCTCTGAGGCAAGGAGAGCTATCAGTGTGCATAGCCTTTGCCTTGACAAGGTCTGTTGCCGGGTCTCAGGGCGTGTTGGGCTGTGTTGGCGTGATGTTGCTTGCATTCTTTTAGTTGTGGATGTGAAACGACCCAAAGCCTGCGCTGGCTGGTTGCCCTGCCTTTCTGCCGGCACAGCTTTTCGGCTCACGAGCCGCCGGATGGGTTGAGTCAACATCAAGAGACAAGTGACATTCCGGAAGGAGCTGCTGATGACAAGCAAGAGCAGCAAGGGCTTGAGCATCACTTCACCTTTTCAAAATGCCATGAGTGTATGAATCCTCAAGCTACCGCTGAATGCGTTTGAGCCAGTGTCCGAATGTGACGAGACTCGCAGGCCGGAATTTGCAGATTCACCTGACAAGCATTGGATACCTGGATCAGTTGGTGGTTTGCGAAATTGCAGGAACATGCTCTTCAGAGGATATTCTAGTGAAGGAAGGAAGACTTGGCTGCGTGGATAACATTTTTTTTTGTCCGATCACTTGGACATCATGGCTACTACACAGGAGTTGCTAAATTTCACGACACCCTGACCGATGTCACTGGCTGGCTCGATTGCAGGTGTTGAAAAGGTGCAATCAGCGACATAGCAGCAAGGCTTCGATGAATCGGTGCTCAATCAGTTTTTGTTTGTCTTTCACATCACAAGCGCCAGGTTCTTAAAGCAAATTGCCAAAGATAAACATCGGTCTGAAGACAATAAGCTCCAAGCACGTTTGGAAGATTGAGGGAAGCCGAACTGTTGCTGACCGAAATGAATATGATAGTTGCGCGAAGGTGAGAACCCAGATAGGGCAAGCATTGGAATAAAGGTTTGCATAGATGAATGTTCAATTGGATGGAGGCATTTGTTTGCCCAGAGGAACTTGCCTAAGTTTGCAAGGGAGCAGCTACATCGCAGGAAGACCTGCACTTCGCGGCTTCGCCAAAGCCCCGTTTGTCCCCCTCTCTTTCTCCCTGAATACAGCACACACACCAGTGTTCTAAGAATTCTTCCACCTCGTTCGACTGATGCTATAGGTACATCAACACCTCTGCACTTCACTGCAAAACATTTGTCCTCTGCCCAGTATAGGTCAAAGCTAGGCATTGCTCATCTCTCCATCTCAAACCATACTTGGCAACGCAAATAGGTGAAACAGCTTCCTCTATATTTCTTTGCACACCCTTAGCCTCAAGCCACAGCCTTCTTGTTCCAATTACCCCAACGACATGAAGCCGCCATTTCCACTTTCCTGTGCGCGTGTGGGGCGCGCAAGACAAAGATTCAGGGCTTATTTACGGCCAATGCGGCACTTCCCAGAAATGTGGGGCTCCATTGGACTTGTTGTTGGCAACGTCCGCACCCGAGTCAGTACTAAACCGTGTCCTCCCTGGCTTACAACCGACACCCGTCCGAGCATTGAGTATGACTGGCCCGACATATGACATGATGCCATCCATTTCTAGGTTTGTTGTAGGGTTTGCAGCTGCTAACATGATCCAAGTTCAGTTTCCGCGCATATATATATATATATATATATATATATATTTTCTCACTAGTCACCGCCAATCAGTCCTTCTGTGTTTTGGGCACGGCTTTAAGTGTCAGTTGCATTTTTCGGAAGCCATTCAGTTCATGAAGACAGCCTAGAACTCTTGTTTGCCCGTAATTCTCTTTCCAGTAAAAGTTTGAAGAGTAAGCAAAAAGAACACGCACACACACACACACACTCAGGGAGATCTGCTTTTGAGACCAGTCACTTTTGTCCCAGGCGATGGAGATAGAGCTCTATGTCCTCTGGGCTGTCGTTGTTGTGCTGGTCCTTGCAGCCGCTGGGCATAGAACCTGAGTCCGAGCAATGGCACAAGCGACTCATTCCTTAGGAAACGGTTAGGATCATTTGGCCGTTTTTATGGTTCAGTTGTCCACTTTCCCCTGAGTTTTGGACCGAGGCGGTGCCCTATTTCAGGGCCAACAGCACTTGGCTGACGTCTGCAAAGACGGATCTTGAGAGTTCCGTTGAGGCAGGCCGTTTGGTAAATCGCTGAAGCGCATGGAGACGGTTTGCTGCCAAGGTGCATCAGCGTTCTCTTTTGTTTTTCTTCATCAATTTGCATGCGAATAGATGCTCAGCTTGTTCTCATCACCCTGCAAGCATACTTTGTTTTGCATGGCATTAAGGTGCAGTCAACTTGCAAGACACCATGATAGGGACTGAGATAGGTGACGTCCATTTAAAGCTAGCACATTACAGTAACAATTTAAGTCCTTATAATGTGTGTCGCACAGTGAATGTGCACAGGAGAAACTCGATTTGAGAAGGCATCTTTTGCTTGAGCTCGATGGTTCATGTCTCTCTTTCCTCAAGACAGCACTAGGAACTTATTGCGCACGGCTGCGAGCAAGGATCAGAGATTTGTGTGGGAGATATTTGTTTTCTTACATGTGTCAGAAGCTGTGTGTGCTGGATAGGGGTGCTGCTGATGTGATGAAGCTCTGTTCTGCTGATGCTTCTGCTTTATTCCCCAACAGCTGAAAGCTTTGGGGTCTCAGCCCAGATAGGCTCCGGGGTGGTTCGGGGCGACCCTGAGCTAAGGTTTCACCAGGGTTCCACCAGGGTTCCACCAGGGTTCTACCAGGGTTCCACCAGGGTTCCACCAGGGTTCCACCATCTGCGAGGTTTCCACCGGGCTGCGGGGTGGTCCGGGGTGGTTTGAGGTAAGGTTCCACGAGGGTTCCACCAGGGTTCCACCAATTTCTTCGAGGGCTGCGGGGTGGTCCGGGCTGGTTTGAGGAAGGTTCCACGAGGGTTCCACGAGGGTTCCACAACCATTCCACCAATGTTCCACCATTGCAGGCTGCGGGGTGGTCCGGGTGGTTTGAGGTAAGGTTCCACGAAAGTTCCACCAGGGCTGCAGGGTGGCCCGGGATGGTTTGAGGTAAGGTTCCACGAGGGTTCCACCAGGGTTCCAGCAATTCCTTCAAGCGCTGCGGGGTGGTCCTGGCTGGTTTGAGGAAGGCTTCACGAGGGTTCTACAAGGGTTCCACCAGATTTCCACCAGGGTTCCACCAGGGTTCCACCATCTGCGAGGGCTTGGTCCGGGGTGGTTTGAGGTAAGGTTCCACGAGGGTTCCACCAAGTTCCACCAGCCCTTTGTGCTCCAGACGAGGGTTCCACCAGGGTTCACCAATTTCTTCGAGTTGGTCTGGTTTGAGGAAGGTTCCACAACGGTTCCACCAGGATTCCAGAATTCCACCAGGTTTTGCAAGGTAAGGTTCCATGAAGGTTGGAGTACGGTTCTAGCAGGGTTCCACGAGGGTTGCGGGGTGGTCCGGAGTGGTTTGAGGTAAGGTTCCATGAGTTCAGGGTTCTGCGAGGGCTGCGGGCCCTGAGGTTTCACAGGGTTCCACAAAGTTCTGCAACGATTCCACACGGGTTCGACAAGGCTCCACAATGTTCCACCAAGGGTTCCAGAAATGTTCTGCAAGGTTCCGTGGAGGGAAGCAGTGTGTCGTGCGCCCGTCGTCTGAAAAGCTATCGGATCAAGATCGCTTTGCTCATGGGCGGAACACTAAGCAAAACCGAAATCAATGGCTTTTAGCACACTTTCACTGTTTTCTGACTTGCTCACTTGCTCAGGCAAATGTTGGCTTTGTGGCAAATCAGATCACGTCGCTGCGGGACTCACGGTGCAGCAGAGTAGATGCTTCCAAGAATTCCACGAGGCTGCGAGGGCTATGAGGTAAGGTTCCAAAAACGTTCCACAAGGTTTCCACCAGGTTCTGCAAAAGCTATGGGGCAGCCCTGACGAAAGGTTCCAACAAAGTTTCACGCTGAGCTCCACGAAAGTTGCATGAGAACTGTTTGCGAGGTTCACCGGGCCTAGGTCGGGGTCCGATTGCACTGTCGGGGCCCGATTGCACCGTTTGGGCCCGATCGGCCCCGATTGCGCCCATCGCGCCCGACTCGGGCCCCGTCAACTGTACCAAGCTGGCTAGGAAAACCGGCGTTGAGCTATAATATTGGTGGCTGGGGTTGCACCACGGGACGATCGGGCCCCGATTGCACCGTCGGGCCCCGATCGGGCCCCGATTGCACCGTCGGGCCCCGATTGGGCCCCGATTGCACTGTCGGGCCCCGATCGGGCCCCGATTGCGCCGTCGGGCCCCGATCGGGCCCTAATAGTGCCGTCGGGCCCCGATCATGGTCCCGGGGCGTTCCGCGAGGATTCTGGGAGGGTGTGGTGCTGTTGGGGATATCGCCCGAGCTTATTTTTTTTCGCTTTTTCTAAAGAACCATAGATGGCATTCTTTCTTTTGGAAAGGCCCTCGCAGGACTTGAAGCGGGACGTTGGTTTGCCTCCGCTGTGTTTGATTTTCTTTGCCCGGGGCTGGGGATGTATAGGGTTTTTCTTTGCAACTGTCTTTACGGGAAAGGCCCCCTGCAAGTGATGAATGGGTGCGGCTGATGCAACTCAGATCTGTCTCGCTGATAGTCCTTGCTTTTCCCTGTGTTTGCACCCAAGCTCTCCTCCCTAGCTGGTGATGTGTGTTTGTGCCTTCTTTTTCGGAAGGTCTTTGCATGCGGATGTTCATGATGTAATCAAGTTCTGTCCTGCTGATGTTTTTTGGTTGTGTGATGTTGTTTGCGCTCCTTCACTGGACTTGGGCAGGGGCCTTTGGTGTGCCTGCGTTTGTTCAAATTCTTTTACGCTGCTTGGCATGTGTTTGTTCAAGTTCTCTTCCGTAGCTGGGGATGTATACAGTTCTTCGTTTGCAGCTTCCTTGTTTCTACAACACGCCGTGTTCCAATTTGTGACTGGGAAGCAACCTCGCTTGCAAACCAGAGTGTAAATATTGCTGACAGTGAAGCCCTGCATCATTCAGGCATGTCCCATTTCACACGGTTGATGCTTTGGTGCTTTTCAAGTCCAGTCCCTGAAAACTTGATTGCATCTGGCAGGTTCAACAAGAGGTTCAAAGACGCTTTGGGGAGCTGCGACGGAGCGCGGCTTCCGGCTTTGGTTACTGGGAGTCTTCACGCGGCGACAATGCGCACTGACCAATTGATTCAGCATAATATGGCTGGGAATGTTGCAAGTCCATAGTCCATTCATGGGTCCATTTGGGATGCGGATCCTTTTTTGCAGCTTGGGCCTTTTGGTCAATCCATTTGCTTTCTGTGGAGGATCAATTGGGACTGGAAGATGTATCAGAAATCATCAGGTTTGGCTGCCGTTGGAATCGTCGGGGCATAGTTTGGAACAGGCTCCATCGCCGACATTACTTTTCACGCCAAATGCTATCACACAAATCATATCACATGTCATGTTGGACTGCATCCACAGATCAAGCTTTACAGTGGACCAACCCCACCACTCTCGCGCCGGTATCCTTTGTATTGGGATTGGCGATGGGTGCACTGTTGATCCGACCCACCTTTATTCGCAGGAATCTTGTGCAGACGGTGATGGATGCAATGAGCCTGCTCGGAATTATGCTGCTGATTGTGTACACTTTGCGCTGGATGGTGAACGGCAAGGACAGGGTTGCTTGCCTCTTGTACACAGATGCATCCGGAATTGAAGACTCAGGACAGCCTTCTGGCGGAGGAGCGTCATCACTTGCTTTGCATCATTCTCTGGCAGACGATTTGTTGCGCATTTCACATCGGTCTCCTGAAGTTTGGAGAGCGCGAAGTCTTGCTTATTGCGTGGCCCTGCTGCAATGCGGGCTTTCCTTCCGAGTTGGCCAACGAGTTACAGTCTTGTACCAAGCGCCAAGGTACGTTTTCAACTTTACGACTGTGTATATGACCTTTACGGCCACAGTTCTCAACATCGAGCAGCCTGGAAGCAGTGCCAAGTGAAGCCATGGGCCAACCACGAAGCAGGCAGTTCGCAACGCCGAGGCCGTTTGTGCTGATGGGCCGTTATATCGGCAGCTTCGTGTTCCTGGACCTCAGACATGCATTTTGCGCGAACCTCCTTTTCACGGCTGCTGGGCTTTATGGAACTGCTTGTTATTTTCACTTGCCTGAAGCTCCGAAGACATTGCCGGGCTTCGTGCAAACATCCAAGGCGAGGTTTCTGCAACTTCCATGCGAGAATCCCTCGTGTCTGGTCAAGGAGTTTGCCGACACTCGGCATGGGGTTTTTCCCCATAGGCAAGCCTTGGACATGTGGCGACCAAGCTGAGGTCCTGGTCACAGCGATGGTGGCTCCCTGGTCCATGGAGTACATGATTCAGCGCCTGCGGCATCAATCCTTCCTGGGCTGGCCGAAGTTGCGGTGACCCAGTGGCCCAAACACGATCAAGAGAATATCTTTTGCAAGCTATCATTAGTTGTTTCTGTCATTGCTTAAGTTTTGTTTGTTATTTCCGTCTTTTGGCATGCCCTGTTCATGATTTAAGATGTCATGTACAACGTCCGTGCAGTAGGGAGTCCGTCATTACCCAAATTAAGCACCAGCGCTCTCAGGACCGCCTAAATCGATGGTTTGGATTGGTGCATTGGTTTTCAATCATCTAATGACAGTTACCAACTTTAAACATGTACTTGCTGTGTTTTGCTTCCTTTCCGGTGGGCTTAAGGGCTTGACCTGAATTCATCAGAGGAGAATCATGGAATGTCCCTTGCAGCTTGGGTCTTACCCCTGCTGCATAGACAAAACAGATGCTTGGCTGATGGCATCTGACGAACAAACAGCTGGCTTAGTTCTTATTCTTTAGGCTAACGTCATAAGAGAAGTGGTATTAGAACCTTACAAGCGCAACCAGGAGAGGGGCACATCACATTCACCCGACTTCAAGCACCACTGCGATATTCAGGTCAAGTACATGTTTCAACTTTTTGCCTGATGTTTAAGCCGTGGACCCAGAGAGAATTGTTTTTTCTTCTTCTTTGTTTTTTCCCCCCAGGAAGTGGATGGCCAGCCTGGTGGCCGCCTGCCAACTGGACACAGCCCTGCGCGCCGCCCGCGCGGTGATCTCCTGCGAGGCGGAGCTGGACGCGGAGCTGAGGCTGCGGAAGGCGCGAGTCGCGAGGTGGCGAGGTGGCGAGGTGGCGAGGTGGCGAGGTGGCGAGGGGCGCGAAGGGGTTGCTCTAAGATACTTTGGTGCATTTTGCCAAGGGATGTTAGGACTTGAACTTTTTGCCAACCAATGGGTTTTCCATTAAAACCACTACAAGTCAAACTGTTAGCAGGGGAGCAGAAAGCAACCGAGAATAGGTGTGGCTCAAGATTAAAGTGCTGGGTTTGGCAAGCCGCAGGTTTTGGTCTTTGTTTCCAAGGGGCCCGAAAGTTGGTATCACTGCCACTTTTTTGAGCCACGACAGAATGGGCTTGTCTCAAGGTGGGTGTGTGTTTGGTGTTTTTTGAAGGAAACCAAAACCATTGGGTGTGTGTCCTTTTTAGAAGCTCGGTACCCCCCTTTTTGGTGTTTTGTGAAGGGAAACCAAACGGAAGACCAGTTTGAAGGTTCCCCTACCAACAGACGCACCCAAACAGGATATCCAAGCAGAGTGGCAAGGGTTTCTTTTTGGCTTCCTTCAAAGCCAAAATGCGATATCCTCAAAAAAGACGCCCACTTTTCGGGATTGGCGTAAAGGAAAGCACATCAAGAAACCGAATTGAACCCCTGGTTCCTGTAGAGGTATATAAATGGGAAGCTACCCAAAACCCTCTTACATGGGCAAACAAAGACCCAAATCTGTTTGATCCGCAGGCCACAAATCACAACACGCGAGAATAAACATCGCTGGCAACTGCAATGGTCTCTGGATGGTTTCCGTTTTTGCCTGTCAGGTGTCTGCGAAGCTTGCGGATTTGTGTGGCTTGGAAGACTTTAGTGGGGATTGTCCTCAGTCTCTTGGCTCACGAATGGGTAGAGGACTGGCTTCTACAAAACTGAGACGGCCCATCCACACGAACGCTCAAATCGGGGGCACCAAAACATAGATTGTAAGGGCGGGAAGGAGTCCACCGAAAAGAGCGGTTGGCTTTCTGACACCGGGAGGTCCAGAGTGGCCAAAGTCATTCCATGTCCTTTAAAATCTAAACCAAACAGCGGGGTGCCGACTCCAAAACGAGAGACGCGACGGGCGCTCGCCGAGTCCAAGCCAGCGCGGCCCAGCTGGAGGGCACCGCCTTTCTGGAGCTCCTGGAGGAGGACTTCGAAGCACATGGTCGAATTTGTTGTGGGTGCAACATGGGTGTGGCTCAAAATTACCCAGGGGGGCAAACCGCAGGTGGTCCATGTTTCCACTTCCCAGGGTTGCAGTACCGGTCTTTCGAGCCACAGCCACATTTTGGGGGTGGTTTTTTCAGGGAGCCGAAGGAAACACATTTTTTTGTTTGTTTGTTTGGGGGCGGGGTCCACCTATTTTTGAGACACGACATGCAACGGCCTTGCCCGAGTCAATTGCAAGTCCCACGTTGACTTGAGAGCAAACTGATGTTGGTTTCAGTTTGGTGGCTTGGTTGCTGATCACCTTTTGCCAGCCCTGGAGAAAGCATATCGGCACTGGGTCCGGTCCGCAAAGCATCCAGTTTACGTGGATGATTCCCCGATGTCATCTCCGTAGGCTCCAGCTCCTTGAAACCCCTTTTGCAGGCAAGGCATAGGGATCTCCACCGTCGGCTGCTTGGCAGGACGACCATGAACGCTTTAAGGCCGGCCTCAAGTTGGCCAGCGATTTGGCCCAGCAGCATGGAGCGGGGGGCGGGGGGCTGTGGGGCATTGCTGGTTCAGCGTGCGGCAGGCCATGGAGGGCTAAAAACTTGTCGGGGTAAAACAGTCGTTTGAAGCTCATTCCAAGTGACGATGTTGAAATCAGGTATGCAAGGTGTGGTGCGTCTGAAGGCACAGCAAGGATTGTGCAATCCGGATGGCAGAGATGGCAGGAGAGCCCGTGTCCTGGCAGGAGAACCCACGTCCTCCAACGTCAATGTCTCCAAGCGGAGCGGTCCACACAAGGATCCAGCGTTTCGTATTGCTTGCGCCAACACTCCAGCGCGAGTTTTTTTTCTTTTTCTTCTTTCAACTTGTTTTTGTTATTCTTTTATTTATATTTTTGACTGGCACTTGGATCCCTGCCGGCAGGATCTCGAGCTCTGTGTCTGCAGCTTGCCTCGCAGGCAAGGCACTCGATACCTCTTAGCGCTCGCAGAGGCCCGGGGCTGAGCCCAAATGTGGCTTTCCGGTGGGGCGGGCGAACGACAGTGAGCATTTGTGCTCATTGCCCCACTGTTTGTAAATGATGAAGCTAAGCACAAATTGACTAGAAGGCAGGACTCACTTCTTTTGTGGTTTGGCAAAGTCATTGGACACAATCAACAAGTAGATCGGCAGTTACCCATGTTTTCCTGATTGAACAGATACCACAGAGGAACGATGCCAGGCATGATCGAACAGTTGTCCATTATGTTTCTATATTTGTAGTTGAAACAATCGACTGATTTCCACAATCTTCCATGTAATTAGAAAGTAGTAAAAATAGGAAACATAGAACACTTTGACAGACATAGATTCCAACATTCTGGAAACAGGGGGTTGGAAGACTTTGAGAAGACCGCGGGAAAACCACGCCGCCTCCTCTTGCATGCTTCTGGCATGTTGGCATCCTTTCATTTGCTCATACTCTTTTTCGCTAAATACACATGCGCAGTGAAAGCAAATGCTTGTTTCGTTTGCAGCATGTCCTGGTATGGTACACATGGAACGTATCGGAACAATGGACATATTGTTTTCCTGATTTTCCCAATTGATTAGGACCATGGGAACAAGATGCTGCTTGTTTTCCAAACTTGCTAGTGTATTGGAATAGAGAGGACAAACGACTACTGTTTTGTCTAATTTCTATGGCTACTTGGAATTTAAACGAGAAGCATTACTGACCATGTTTTCTAGTTGCTCCAATCATTACACATATATAGAAAAACAAAACATATATATATATATATATACAAACATGTCCCAACAACTCCACAATTGCAGGGAACTGGGAAAAGTGAGGAGGGCTGGACGGCTTGTAATTCACTTGGTGCAACCTTTGTTGCCAGGGGAGGGGGGGGCACGCCAGCAATGCCTCGGGAGACAGCTGAGATGAAATGTTCAATTCGCTTGACGCGCCAGGTGCGAGATGGTGACCCAGTGGACCACCCCGAGGAGGGCCTTGAAGGAGGGGTGCTTGAGGATCGTGTACAGGAAACAAGATGCCAATATTCCTTCATGTTTGCTTGAGTCCTCCGTGCCACTTGGGAGCAGTTTGCGAATGTCTTCGTGTATTTTTCGAAGCGCGGATGGGGTGCCAGCAACATTTTTTTGGGCAGATCATGTTGCCAAAGTATCACACCCCGGATAGTTTTTTTTTATCCAAGAGGCTTGTTCACGGCTTTTCACTAGACATTAATGTTGGATCTCAAAGGTACACATTGCACATGCCACACAAGTGCTGCATACGCAACGGCTACCTCTTGGCAGGCAGGTGAACGTGTCAGGTATCAACTTTTCGGAGGTGTGGCACTCTTAGCCTATGGATGCAGGGGCTGAAAAGCACAGCTCAACTTTCCAGTGCCCTTCACATGAGTATTCACTTGCCAAACTGCGGCAGTGGCATATCCTCGAAAAAGGAAACCACATACATAATGTTCAATCCACATGGACGGAGACATCAGTATTTTGGTGGGTTGAGTTGTTCTGGTTCGCGGGCAGGGCTACTGGCTTGTGGCCGATGCCCGCGCGAGGACTTGGCGAGCCTTCAGCTCACTTGGTGGCACCGCGCCTGACGGCGCAGGCGCTTGCCACGCACTCCTGGGCACCTCGGCGAGAACTCGAGTTGACGGTCGAAGTCGGTTGGGTGAGTTGGCGGAGTTTGCTTGGCGATTGCCGAGCATGTGGCTGTCTTTTCCGGCTTTTGGGACTTTCACAGGGCAGTGCATTGTTTGAAAGGCAGATCAAGCAACTTTTGCTCCTCGTATATGCTTGAGGCGAGTTGTTGTGTTTTGTGCCGGTCTTGTTTTTACGCTGAGAATGACTCTCCCTTCCTGCAATGGTGGTCGCTCAACAAAGAGGGAAATAGAGTAGGAGGGATTAGCGGCAAGTGGCAGAGATATGTCGCAGTCAGTCGGGGGCTGTGGTTAGCGCTTTAAGTCTTCCTTCCCTGCGTGTGGAGAGTGGGCGGCTCGAAGTTGAGCAGTGGGTTGCTGGGGCAAAACCAGTGCAACTTTGTGGCTTTGCGCTGACTCCAGCCACGAAAGAAGATTGCTCGAAGGCCACGCCAGCGATACCAAACTGCAGCAGTGTGTGGGAGGTGAAGGCCTGTGCGGGCGTGGTGACATGCAAGCTTCTGGCAGAATGGGTTTGAACTTTTCTAGTCAGCAGAACCTTGTCTACCTTGTTCTTGAAAGACGTATTGAGCCTCTGAAAGCGAGCACACCAATGCAGTATGCCAGGTGCTTTTGGACGAGCAGAGTCTGGAAGTGCACGGCCTACACATCGCATTGAACACCAACCATTGGAAGAGGAGCCCAAGCCTTGGGAGCGGGGCTTGCTGTCGATGCGTGTCGGCTTGCTTTTCTTTCTTTCTAAAGCATGGGAGTTGGCCTTGCATGGGGCGTGTCGATGCTTGGACTCAGGTCGGAAGACCTTCCTCAAGGAGTGTATCCTGCCTGGGGTTTGGGATAATTTCAAGCTGCTCGGATGCAGGGCGAGTTTCCGAGTGCAGGGCTTTCGCTTTTTCCGGCTTGTTCTCTGAGGCGGTGGATTGATCACACCCTCCAGGGCCGGCCAGGCAGGTCCGGCGTCCCAAAACCCTTTCGGCTCCTGTCAGGCTCTCACGCATCAAAAGCCTATGGCTTTTAAAGCCGCTGTTTTCACCTTGCGCCTCTGGCCCAAGCACCAGAGCCAGTACCATGCCCACCACCTTGTCTCATCGCCCTCTGCCTGGAGGCCCCGCACCCTTCATTGTGCCCTTTGCCCTGCACCGGATCATGAGTGGCATCGCCTGCGCTCGCAATGTGGAGCTGAAGAGAAAGGCTCGAATGGTCAGTAGTGCTAGAGCAAGAGAGAGAGAGAAGTTACACAATGTGCTGCTGCCATGCACAGAGTGGGAATGGAGTTTGGTTGGCAAGATCCGTTGCTCTTGAGAGACCCGACGGTTGTCTACCAGCCTTCATTTCGTCTCTTGCTTCGGGTGGGCCCTTTCATGAACCAATGAACGGCTCCCCGGACGAATTCGAGTCGGGCCATCGGTCGAAGAGGTTGGCTCCACCGGCCGGAACGAGCTGAGCCTGCGCCTGCGGCACATTTTCGTGCGAAGGCACTGCCGGCAGCTGCCGAGCGCTGGGGCCATTTGACGCTTGAGCTCGACAAACCAGAAGCGTCAAAGGCATGTCACCACTTCAATTTGTTTTTGTTCTCTTTTTCGACGATGTATCAGGTCTGAAGGCTTTTTTCTTTTTGGTTTTGCTACCAGCAAGACATTTGCCGTGTTGAAAGCGCGCAATGATTTATCCTTTGTGGTTTCAGGGTACAGTCTGCCATGCAGGCGTTGTGATGTTGAGCATATGTACGTTTGAGCTCTGACTCCTGCAGTGGCTGGTTACCTTCTTCGTAGTTGTTTTATTATTTTTTGGGCCTGCGTTTCATGGTTGCAACGCATTGAGCGCCAACCTTGACTTAGAGCCTTGAGCGCAGGCCTGTGGCAGCGTGCCACAAGGCGGGCTCGGAGAGAAGCCGAGACACGCTGTGA